TGCCCGGGACCCCCGTCCGCGTGCCCGGGACCCCCGTCCGCGTGCCCAGAACTCCTCCCCCGAGCCCGGACCCCGCCCGCCGCGCGTCACAAAGCGCCGCCGCCTCACCCTCGTAGGACGAGCGCCACTCGGCCTTGTGCTTCTTGTGCTTTTTGCCCATGGCGACGCCGGCGGCGGGCCCGGGGCGGGGGCCGGGAGCAGTGGGGACCCGGCCGGACCGCGGCCGCCGCCGCCCCCTCACCCTGGTTGGCCGCCCGCGCTCGCCGCGCGGAGGTTGTTTAACCCGCCGAACGCTCCGGGACGCGCCGGAAGCAGGGCGGGGCGGGGCCGCGGCAGGAAGTGACCCTGCCGGACCCGAGCACTTCCGGGTCAGGAGGCGGTTCGCCTCGCGCGGCAGATTCGAAGCTCGGGCGGGGCCCGCGGGCCGAGGCGGCGGCTGTGGCGGCGACGCAGGGCGTGAGGTGGCGGCGGCGGCGCTCCGGTCGGGTCCCCACTGCTCCCGGGGGCGCCATGGACGAGGCCGTGGGCGACCTGAAGCAGGCGCTTCCCTGTGTGTCCGAGTCGCCGACGGTCCACGTGGAGGTGCATCAGCGCGGCGGCAGGTGAGCCGGGCCGGCCGGTCCCGCCCTCGGGGCACCCACCCGCCGCGACCCCAGCGCGTGCGCCGGGCCCCGACCCAGGGGCGCCGATTTCGGTGCGCCTCTACCCCAGGGCGCTGACCCGGCCCCACTGGACCCCAGCCACACCCCGACCCGATCCTGGCCCACTGACCCGACCCCACCCCAGGGCGCTGACCCGGCCCCACTGGACCCCAGCCACACCCCGACCCGATCCTGGCACACTGACCCGACCCCACCCCAGGGCGCTGACCCGGCCCCACTGGACCCCAGCCACACCCCGACCCGATCCTGGCGTACTGACCCGACCCCACCCCAGGGCGCTGACCCGGCCGACCCCACCCCAGGGCACTGACCCGGCCCCACTGGACCCCAGCCACACCCCGACCCGATCCTGGAGCACTGACCCGACCCCACCCCAGGGCGCTGACCCGGCCCCACTGGACCCCAGCCACACCCTGACCCGATCCTGGCACACTGACCCGACCCCACCCCAGGGCGCTGACCCGGCCCCACTGGACCCCAGCCACACCCCGACC